TTGGCTGCGTACTCCCGTCTGTTCACGCATATGGGGGTGGATTATTTCGGGCCGATCATGGTATCCGCCAACCGTAAAACAGAGACACGCTGGGTGTTGATAGCTACCTGCCTGACCATCCGTGCCATACACCTGCAAATTGCACACACTCTAAGTACCGATTCCTGCATCATGGCTCTACGCAACGTCATAGGTAGGAGGGGTACAACGGCGGTCATCTATAGTGACCAAGGAACTAACTTCCGAGGCGCTAGCAAGGAGCTGAAGGCCGCTATGGAGAGTTTGGATCAGGAACGCTTGATGATCGAGTTCACCACTCCTCACACCAGCTGTAGTTTCAATACACCAGCCTCCCCGCATATGGGTGAAGCGTGGGAGCGTCTTATCCGTACGGTTAAACATAACCTCGGGAAGATCCTGCCAGCCAGCACGCTCTCGTACGAGGTCCTTGAAAACTTGTTCATAGAAGTCGAAAACGTGGTTAACTCACGACCACTGACCAGCATTCCATTGGAAGACGACGAATACCCGGTGCTCATTCCGAACCACTTCTTGCTGGGATCGTCGAACGGTTTGAAGCCATGGCTACCTTTCGACGACAGTCCTGCGGCACTCAGAAACTGCTGGAAACGCTCTCAGATCTTGGCCAACCAGTTTTGGAGACAATGGTTTCTAGATTATCTGCCGTCGATCACTCGCCAAACCAAATTGTTTGGCCCAGTGAAACCCATCGACATCGTCGTCATCGTGGACCCAAACATCCAGCGAAACTGCTGATTAAAGTAGTGGTATCTATGAGCGTCCAACCGTGAAGCTCGCCGTGCTAGACGTTGGCGTCTGCAAGGATACGCCTCAGAGAGACCATCGGCGCATTCCGGGAGGGAGTGTTAATTCCGCCACGTCTAGTGGCCCGACAAGCCCCAACGACCCCACTGATGCTAATGCTTACGCTTTCTTGCTGAAATTTTCCAATCGCGAGATATTTGCGATCAATCTAACGCTTACGCTTTCTTGCTTGTTTGGACCCCAAACTACGCGAAGCTGCTCTTAGATCGGATACATGGCCGAAAGGAATTTTGTTCCGTGAATTTGAAGACGGTTCAAAAAACATGTGGTTGCCTCGTTTGAACACGCCTACCATCACGATCTCTCCTATTCCGGGATCTTCCGAGTTCTCAACTCCTATTTCCGGACTAGACCCAGTCTGCTGATTCAGAATTGGATTTTGCGTTGTGAATTGGAGCGCTGTAGACCAGAACGCACTGCCCGTCGCATTATGGGAGACCTCGAACCACACACGATTTCCAAGAATAATCCTTCTACCTCTATTGCTTCTGGACCACCACCATCAGCACCGAGATGCATCGTGGATAGTACTGTGGAAGCCCCTGATTTCTCTGCCTCAGTCGTGCATAGTCGTCTCGGCCCTGAGTGTAGATGTAGGTCGAGGGTCTTCCAACCAGCTATTACTGGCAAGTATTTTGACGATTCAGCTTCTCCTTTTCCTGATACCGCTTCAACTTCTAGCTGTGTTTCCAGTTCTGCGACCTCTACACTAGCCACATCATGCCCATGCATCCGTCCTGCCAACTACCAGCAGGTTTATGCCACCACCTGCTCTTCTTCGGATCCGGGACACCCTAAAACAGACACTGGCTGGACGACCGAATTTACTCATCGCAACTTTTCGGGTCACTCTATTCCGTCTTCAGAACTGACAGGTCTGCTCTAAACAGTCAAAAATCGCGCGGTGGCGGAGTCCTGATTGCGGTATCTACTAGACTAACCAGCTACGTAAGTACGTCACCCATTTCCAGTCAACTGGAACAGCTGTGGATTGTCGTAGAACGGTAGAACTTCCACAAAGGAAGCTTAGTGTAGGCGCAATCTACCTGCCTCCCGACCGCAAAAACGACTGCTCGATCATCCGTGAGCATGTGGAATCGTTAGGCTCAATTTCGTCACAATTAAGTCCTTGCTCTCCCGCTTTCATATTTGGTGACTACAATCAAGCTGGTCTGCAGTGGCGCTTTATAGACAGTGACACACCATTGATCCACTGCTTTCGTATATGCTGGTTGCTTGCTGTGCTCTTTTGGACGGTTTTAACTTTTACGGGTTCACACAAGTGATTACTTTTCCGAACCGAAATGGACGTTTACTAGATCTTATCCTGGCAAATGATTCCGCACTACCGGGCACTTCTGTTTTCTTGCTGGTCGAGTCACTGATTGATCTAGATGCCGATCATCCCGCTCTCGTCATGTCATTTAGTTTACCTACGCCGATTCTTTTTACGCCGTCATCTGAGTGCTACTCTTTGGACTTTCGCCGGGCCGATTATGTTGCATTGAACAATGCGCTTGCGGAAATTGACTGGCAATTAATCGAAACTGCCGCTAGCGTGAATGATGCAGTGGATTTTTTTAGTGCTGCACTGGAAAATGCGCATTGTCCCAGCTCGACGACCTCCGCTAAAGCCTACATGGTCTAACCCACGCCTACGCGTGCTAAAATGTCAAGGCTCTGCCGCCCTCCGAAAGTATTGTAACTCTCGCTCGCCGTACTACAAACGACTGTTCAATTTTGCGAGTCGTAGTTATCGAAATTACAATCGTTTTCTCTACAATCGACACGTGAGACGCACGGAAGCGAACCTTCGCACGAATCCGAAAAGTTTTTGGTCGTTTGTCAACTCCAAACGGAAGGAATCCGGGTTACCTTGTTCCATGTTTCTCGGGAATGACTCGGCTAATAGTGAAAGAGAAAAATGCGACTTGTTTGCTCGTCATTTCAAGCAAATGTTCCACAATTTTTCCGCTTTGCCAACACAAGTGCTGGACGCTACTGTTGGGATGCCACGTGATGTTTTTAGTTTCGTTATTCCGCGCATTTCAGAAGACATGGTGATAGCCGCAACACGCAAACTGAAGCTCTCGTTCGCCGCCGGACCTGACGGCATTCCATCATCAGTTCTAAAACGTTGTGTAGCCAATCTCTGCCTTCCACTTGCGAGGCTATTCAATCTCTCGGCACAGCAATGTGAGTTCCCCTGCAGCTGGAAACTTTCTTATCTGTTCCCTTTGCGCAAAAAAGGAGATAAACGGAATGTCATAAATTATCGTGGAATCACCTCCCTGTGTGCCTGCTCAAAACTGTTCGAGATTATCATAAATGGTGCTCTGTTCGCACGCTGCAAAAATTATATCGATACAGAACAACACGGTTTCTACCCGAAGCGCTCCGTGTCCACGAACCTGGTGCAGTTCACTTTTAACTGTCTGCGATGCATGGATTCAGGATGGCAAGTCGATACTGCGTATATGGATTTAAAAGCTGCATTTGACATCTTGCTGGCCAAGCTGGAGATACTTGGCCTCTCGTCAACTGCTGTGGATTGGTTCAGATCTTACTTGGTGAATCGCTATGTACATGTCAAGATTGACGCGTCGGAATCGGATGTTTTCTCAAACAACTCGGGAGTCCCGCAAGGCAGTAACCTAGGACCGCTACTATTTTCGATCTTTTTAAACGACGTCGCCTTGCTGATACCATCAGGATGCCGCGTTTTCTATGCAGACGATACGAAAATCTACAAAATTATTAAAAGCCTCTCGGACTGCTCGGATCTCCAGAATATGTTAAGTATTTTTGCTGACTGGTGCTCAAGAAATTTGATGAGTCAAAGCATAGAAAAATGTAACATTATTTCATATCACCGAAAAATCGAACCAATCATGTTTGACTATGTTCTCTACGGACGCTCTCTTGCTCGTGTAGGGCACATAAAGGATCTCGGCGTTACCTTGGACTGCAGACTCACTTTCAGAATCCACTACAATGACATCATCTCCAGAGCTAATCGACAATTGGGCTTTATTTTCAAAAATGCCGACGAGTTTCGTGACCCGCTATGCCTCAGGTCACTTTACTGCTCGCTTGTGCGATCCTTATTGGAGTCAAGTTCAGTTGTTTGGTGCCCTTTCCATGCTAGCTGGATCACTAGAATTGAATCCGTTCAACGCAAGTTTGTGAGATATGCTCTTCGTTTACTCAACTGGCGTGACCCAACGAACCTGCCTCCGTACGAGGAGCGTTGCCGTCTCCTGGTAATCGAGCCATTAGAGGTGAGACGGACGGTCGCTCAAGCTATGTTCGCTGGAAAGCTGCTTACAGGTGACATTGACTGTCCAACACTGCTGTCATAGCTAAATATGTATGCCCCTGAGAGGTCTCTTCGTCAACGCGGCTTTCTGTTTTTGGAACCACGGAGCCGGAATTATACACAACACGAGCCAATTCGAGCAATCAGCCGGCAATTCAACAACTTTTTTTTATATGTTCGACTTCAATGTATGAGCTGACGTGTTTCGTCATCGGCAACTTGGCCTTTTCCGTACCGTTGACCCTAACTATTTAGTTTAAGTTTTATTCATTTAGACAATAATTGTCAGTTGAATTTTTAAATAAATAAACAAATAAACAAATAAACAAATCTTATAAATTCGAGGTTTGTTTGTTTTTTTTTGTAGCGTCCTGGAGAAAACCTTATACCTTAATTCGAAGCGTTTCTGGTTAGTTGACAAGGTCATGTGAAATTCGGTCATAGCGAGAATTTTTATGTACCACTTCAATACTATTACGCATTTGACCACAAACGTTTGGCTGCTGTGTACATTTTAAAGAGCTTTGGGGGTGATGTGGCTGGTAGCAAAGCGAGCGAACGTTCAATGAAAATTAACTCTTAAACAACAATAATTAATGGTGTCATATCAAACTTCATGATTTTACAAAACTTGGACGGTAATTGCCATTTTGACAGTCCATGGTCACAGTAGCCCTCTCAGGCATGTTCCGATGCCAACGGGGAAGTGGCCAATTCTCGAAAAGAAGTAAAACCCGGCTTACAAATAAAACGAATCAAAATTTCGATGATTTGACCCGAAACCCTACTGGGAATTTCTTTCAATTGTGTTTTGTTTTTTACCAGACCGAACGTTCAGCTTTATAGTTTTTATTAGTGACATCAGTTACTTCGCAACGAACGCTTTGAGCGGATTATTTGGCATGCCAAAAATCATCAACCAAATTGGTCGGTCATCCATCCAAGGAAAAACAATACAAGGAATACTTACGCAAAGCTCCCATCAAGTTCGAGCGTAGTTTACGAAGGAGAAAGTTCCTCCATCTATACACAAAGCACAGTTTAAAGTCAAAAATAACGGTGGATTCGGTAACAGAATGTGCCGGGACAATTTGCCCATAAAGATTTTAGTGAACCATTAAATTTTCAATTAAATTCATTTGATATGTTGGCCAGCGATTCCAATTTCTAAACTGCCATCGGACTGTGAACTTGCAACTATCGCGCGCAGCTTCCTACCGGTGCTGTAAAGGCCATTTTAGGTTAAGCAGTGCTTTATCTACATTCCTTTAGCATCTGATTGTTCGTCTCTTATTCATGGTAGCTCTGCTCTTCTATTACCTTTTTCCGTTTAGTTAGGCATTGTTATAAAGTCTTCTCACTACTTTGGTAGCAAATTAACTACAGTCTATGAGATTTGGGCTTTCGCGTGTATCATTCGTCTAGTGACGACGGTTTGCCTATCTATCTTAGTTTTGTTTTCGTAAGTCCTACACTCAGGCAAGATGCTCTATGGTAACTAACAAACAAAAAATTGCTTCGGTTGGATAAGAAAAATACTCTTGGTAATGCGTCTATTGAAAACTGTAGACGATATCACGAACACTGGTGTAGGTTCCAGCGACGAGTCCGATCACGCCAAACAAAATCAGGATGATGTCCTTCCAGAGGACCAGTTTTCCCGGTCCCAGCTTGTCGGGCCAAAGCACGCAGATTTCCATGATGGCAGGGAAGGCAATTCCCAGTGCCGACAAACAGAGTGCACCGAAGAGTGAAATGAACAGACCCAGTCGAGGAATCGCCACCGCCAGCAAGACTAGAACGAGAGCAATAATGTTATGGTATTGAAAAATTCGATCAATCAGTATAACTTACAGGTCACGATTACAACCACAATGCGAACCAGCATTTCGTATACAAACTTATTGTTCGAATCCTTGTACTTTTCCACCAGATATACGTTCCAGATGATATCCACCGGGACGTAGCACTGCAATCCATACGAGATGAAAATCGCTACGGCAAACAGAACTCGAATGGTTCGTGACAATCTGAGGATCGTAGGTGAAATGTTTCAATTGGTTTAAAATTGACAAAAGACGTAGACTTACATGTCAGTTTCCGGAAGGTTCAGAGTCACACTGCCGAGCGCCTCACCACCGTACTTCAGATAACCCAGGAATCCCATACCGGCATACAGAGCAATAATGACGACCATTCCGACGTTGAGGACTCCAAAAGTTCCACCGAAAGATTTCGGTGTTGCCATGTTGTTTTCCAAGGCAATAATCTGCGAACAAAAAAAAAAGAAAACGTTTTCAAATTTGAGCTTTAACCGTATTGATAAGCTCAGTACTGATACACACCACTCCGACAGCTTCCAGTGCAAACAATGTTGTTCCGAAAAACAGCGGGAAACGGCCAAGGTCAGCCACCATTTCGCGTTCCGAAAGTGGCGGTAGATCATCCAAAATGTAGTACAGAATCATGCCAAGGCCTAGCGGAAATATTACCATTTTAGGTGCAGGTCGAATTTGGACTATAACTTAATTCTCTTACCAACGAATGTGATCAGGTTTGCCAGCGTAGAGAAGGGAGCCAGAATCTTAAGGTTGCGGATCATGTTGATGCCAATCAGAGGAACCAGCAGAATCATGCAGTGAATTTTAACGTCCAAGTTTAGGTAGATATCGACCAGCTGAAAAAGAAAAATCGAATGATTATTTTGGCACATGTCGCAGTCAGTCTAAAGATGAGCTCCAAAGGTCTTTTTTAGCTGTTGTAGAATTGCTATTAAGAATATCAAATAAGTAAAAATTATATTGATTGCAAACATTTTTCTGATGTTCTCTACGTATCGGAAGTGGAGAAGAAGTTCCGACAGTTTCTACCGTAGCCGATGGATCGACCACTTCAGTCTGTATTATTTCGATTTTCTCCAGACAGCAACTTGTATACCAACTGAACACAGCCACTTAAAGACGGGGTGGATATAGCTATCCAAATCAGAAACTGATTGACTGAGATGATTTTTTTTTTTTTTTTTTTTATTTCATTTCGTCAAGCCAGTGTAGACTACATACAATGATTATTACAATGTTTACTTACATACTATGCATTAATTCTATTCTGTTTTAGCTTAGTTTGTATTTGCTGCTTGGACATAGTGATGTCAATAGTTCCGCAATGCAAATTATATAGGCGCATCATTCGATTGATTGGGCTATTTTTTGCATAGTTTGTTCTGTACGATGTTTCTGAAAATACATTTTATGAGGTGGTTTCAAGCTACGGAAGTAGGCTTGTAATATTTCCAAAGTTATCGAGAACCAATGGGGACAAACCCGGATCCGGATCAATCCATAAAGACGTTAGGATCCACCCAAGTAACATTGCAAGCTTTATTGATGTTTTATAGCAATCTTCAAGTCTAAGTCATGGTCTACAGAACCCTCATAAAACCCAAATTGTTACTTGGGCAGTTCACACTTTGTAACGAACCGGGAATTTGTTTATGATTTTGTAGGTATTTAGCTAAGACCACCCGCACTGGTGCGTTGCTATTCAGGCTGCTAGTTTGACAACTTTAGCCGTTGCTATTTTAGTTAGGAACCAGGTTTCGCACCGGTCGATGATGATGATGATGATGATGGTCCCACCTCTTACCCCTACAAAGATTTGAGCTGGACGATTTATCTTTAAGATAATTGAATATGACATTTTAACCAGGTTGGCAAACAAAATCGAACTGGTTTCAGTTACAGATATAGATTCCCTCTAAAGTTTACAGTTGCTTCACAGCGATATAAATGTGGAAAAGCTCAGGCGTCCACCTCTTAGTTCGCCTTTTTGTCCACCTAAAATATTCATAAGTATTACAAGCAATCAAGAGTTAATGAACAATCAACAAAGCATCCTATTACACTAGTAACCCCGCAATCTGATGCTATCATAATTTTCAGCAATGTCAGGAATGCTCACGAACCCCTAACATTTGCCAGAAAACTTACTACTAACTCAAGGTATCTTTCAAATAAGCTTCAAAATTGCATTTTTTTTTATCAAATGTTAAATTCAGTCCTCTATATCCGTAATACGCGCGCGAGGCTCAAACCTTTGTAGACTACTTTTTTTTTTTAATTAATCTACTATAAAATCAAATATTAAAAATCCATCATCACCCTCGTGGCGAACAGAAATAGTTTTTGCAGTGCTACAATAATTATTAAAAAGTCGTTATGACAGCTATCCATATAAAATAATCCGTTAGAGATAACTTCGTCAAGATACATAATTTGTCAATTCATAAAAAAATCACTGGATAACTGTTCAAAAGACAGTTTTAACGTGTGAAATGCAGTGTCTTTTAAATTCTGTAAGTGTTGCTAAACGTTTGATATGTCTAGGCATCGAATTGAAAACATTTATTCCTTTATAATATAATGAATTTTGTGAAGCACAAGTCAAGAAATGTGGTGTTCTTATTTCAACCGCGTTTCTAGTATTATATCTATGAAAGTCACTTCCTCTTTCAATTCGATCACACAAATATCGAGGCAGCAAACCGTTAACTACTTTAAAAATGAACACCATAGTCTAATATACAATTCTTTGCTTCACCGACAACCATTGTAAGGCGTCTAACAAAGTTGAGGAAGTGAATCTATTACATCTCAAAATCAAACGCATTATTTTATTCTGCAAGCGCTGTAATCTCGATATTTGTGTTGCATTGGCCAGAAATAAAATGGAAGGGCAAAAGTCAAGATGAGGAGAGATGATTGATTTGTATAGCTGTATTTTACTGGCAATAGTTAAATCGTTTTTCAGTCGACATAGAATTCCATACTTCTTGGCAATTTTCTTGATGACATTGTCAATGTGAGAGTTGAACTTAAGTGTGTCATCAATAATCACGCCAAGATATTTAATCTCCCGAACGCGATCAATAGTCTCATCATCAATTACAACAGAGACGTTCTCATTTACTCGATTCCGCGAAATTACCATAAATTTAGTTTTACTTGTATTCAATTTTAACTGCTTATACTTCAACCATCTACTTAGAGAACGCAAATCTTCATTCAAGTGTAAAACGGCATCATCTAAATCCTTAGCTGCAATGAATAACACAGTATCATCTGCAAAAAGATTAATGTCGCAAAATCGTAAAACACGTCGCAAGTCATTAATATACATAATAAATAACAGGGGCCCTAATACACTTCCCTGGGGCACTCCAAGGTTATTCCCCACGGGACTGGAAACAGAATCATTAAAAACAGTCCGTTGAGTTCTGTCAGACAAATAGCTTTCAAGCCATTTATATGCAGTACTCGTAATTCCAAAGCGCTTGATTGATCTTAACAATAAGGGCCTAGAAATTGTTTCAAAAGCGCGTTTAAGATCCAAAAAAACAGCAACAATCGTATCTTTACACTCCAAGTTATTTTTCCACTTCGCTAATACCAAATTCAACGCGGTTTCACAAGAATGACCTTCCCGATATCCCGATTGTTCTGGTATCAACAAACTATTACTATTTAAATACTCCAACAGCTGACCTTTAACAACAAGTTCTAAAATTTTCTCTAATGTGTGCAACATGTTGATGGGACGAAACTCTTCGGCTTTAATCGTTCCAGCAACTTTTTGAATAGGGACCACTAAGGATTCCTTCCAAATTTGTGGCACATGTCCACTTTGTAATGATTCATTAATAAGGTCCAGCAAGATGTGGCCAATGACATGAAAGCAATCTTGAATAACTCTAGCATTAACATCATCTACTCCAGCCGATTTTCCTAATGAAAAACAAATAACTCTAAGTTCATCTAATGTGATTGGGTGAAAAACTTCAAATCTACAACTACTATTAACTGGCTGTTTTATTTCGTCAGGTTCATCGACCAATTCAATAGATTGATTAATCAATGAAACGCTATCTACGAAATAATCATTAAACTTAGCTGCAATTACTTGTTCTGACTGTTCTAATGTGCCATTAAAAGTTATGGACCGCGGTTTGCAATTACTAGGTTTTAATAAAGATTTCAAAATTTTCCATAACTCTTTGCTGTTGTTTTGATGCTGATCAATCTTCCTTTGAACATATTCACAACGAGTTTTCTTTATCGATTGTGAATACTTATTACGCGCGATTGTGTACCTAGTCCAATGATTGTCATTATTAGATCTACAAAACTTTTTGTACAATTTGTCCCTTTTCCGTTTAAGACGCAAAAGATCCAAATTGTACCAGCTGTTCGAGTTTTTCAAAGAAACAAACTTTTGCTCAACTAGTTGATTGGTACACGTTTTCAAAGCGTTATCAAGAACAGCTGTAGATTCATCTAAGTTACCGGCCGCGAATGGAAAATCCAGGCTTCTCTCAACAAGATTCAAAACAGCTTGCTTCGAATATTTCCTCCAGCATTTCAATTTTACAAAATTATCGTTATCGTTAACATGGTCTAAGACATTAATCACTAAAGTCTCATGATCGGTTATTTTCAAATCAGTATCCGTAACTGAACAAATGGAATCAAAATTGGAATAAACGTGGTCAATTAAAGTTCTACTGTGCCTGGAAATACGCGTATACTCATTTACCGTTTGCTTTAAATTAAAAAACTCAGCTAAACGCTTCAAATGATTCGAATTATGGTTATCACGCCAATTAATATTAAAATCACCAGCCAATATATTTAATTTACTAGAATCAAGGAATGTCTCAAACCAGTTCTCTAAAACTTCAACAAAACGCTGGTCACTAGAACTGGGAGAATGATACAAAACACCATAATTACCCATCTTCATGCCACGTACAACTGTAATGCCCAAGAACCAGTTGCCATCAATAACTTCGTTGGTACGAAGGTTGAATTGAACTGATTCTTTGACATAAATAGCAACACCGCCAGTGTCTAGAATGTGATAAACAAGCAGCAACAATATATCCCGGAATACTATACTGATCAAAAGCTTCAGTTTCTACAATATGAGTTTCAGATAATAAAACTAAAAGAGGACGTTTTTCCTCAACAATCTGACGTAATGCTACGTAATTTGTTGACAACCCCGCAATATTCAAGTATAAAAAATCGAATTGATTCACATTATTATTTTATGTTTTTAACTTTCACATAGGTAGTTGCCAAATCTAATTTCGAGCTAAAACTGATCGTAGAGCTTCGTGATTATAAAATACAGAACATCCGTAACAGTGGTCAATTCGTAAAGATTATCAGGACCTGCGCGATTTTTTTAAAATCACTTGTTGTGGGGCTGTATGGATGAGTTTGCGTTTGAGCCCGGCAGGTGCACTCTGCTCTGCCGCGAAACGGTCGTCCGGAAGATCTGGAATATCCTTAAAGGTGGTCAATTTGTTGAGTATATTATAGAGCTCCACTGTTTTTATGATGCATGCGTTGTGATGCTGCATGGATTAGTTTGGATCTAGAACTAGTATGCATAATAATGGTAATTTTTTGTGGTGATGCTACATGAATTAATTTGATTTGATTTGATATTTGTTTCAATCCCATTTTCCATCTCGATTGTTATATCAAGATTTAAAGCTAAATAACCACTTCACTGATTGACACAAAACTAACAAATTGACAGCTCGCTCCCATACAAAGTACCACCAAGGGGCGCTAAGACTACCTTTACTGATGTTTAGGAGGACCTCTCGTA